ATAACAGCGTTTGCTCTCAGAGTACCGGTGCATCAGGACTTCCAATATTAACTCTCAGAGTACTTTAACTATCCACACCTATATTTTGCCTCATGGCCCTCACAGGCTATTTATGATTCCAGGCTCTTCTAGTCAAATGACAGTATACATACCATTCCTCCAGCCCCAGGTCAGAGATCAGGAATGAGAAACCTTGACACGCCTACACATTAACTTCCCTTTCTGGTGCTCTTCACAAAAGATTCCTTAAATATCAAGGAAGCAAATCTTTGTAAAGTTCATTTTTAAGTGCTTTTAAAGTGCTTTTAAATTTATGCATGTAATGGGAATGCAAACGTATGCAAAATTTCTCATAGTCTAAGAAGCAAAAATTGTCATTGTGATCAAGCCATAAAATATATACAACTCTTTGATCCAGAGAGCCTTATTCTTATCATTAAACTTGCAGCAATTACTGTGTTCAGACCCCATCTGGGAAATGTTTCCTTAGGAAACACTAGGCAAGGGTGGAAGCAAACTAAATATTAAAATATTTTTAAATAAATAATAACAAATAAGTTAGAAGAACATTATGCAGTTTTTAAAATAATGATTCAGCACCGGTAAAGGTTTCATGTATACTAAAGTATTTATATGATAATTAGATTTTGTAAATCTTGCATAGAATATGTGCACAGCATATTCTTGGGGCTTGGGAGCATGTATATTTATACACATATAAGTAAAAATCAGGATGCTACCATTAATTCATATCTATAGATGAGTGAATTTGGGTACAGAGCTGTTTTAGAGAAAATGAAAGAAAAGGGATGAACACAAAATCAACCTACAGTGGACACACCTTTGCCAGAGTTGATGTAGCTTTTGCTTTAAATATGTTACAACCACAGGAGGCTTGGAATATCTTATTAATAAGAAGGCCTCATTTGGGGTACCTCAAATGAACTCCATATACCAATTAGCTATTGCACTTCTAAAAAAAAATATCACTGAGCTTCTTAGAGAAAGGTTTGGGTCAGGTTACTGCCGCTGCAAAGGTGGCCCATTTGCTGAGTCTGGGGAGTCCTTGTGTGAGCTCCTCTCCTCCAGGCTCATGAGTCAGCACATAGTGCTCAGAGTACTGGCACAGCCCACAGCACTGTGGTTTTGTACAAATGCCAGCAAGCACCATTCCCGCACTTGAGTTGGCACTAATGGTCCCTTTCCATAACGTTAGTCTCAGGGAGATTTGAAACTCCCAGATGCAGCTGGAGGAGAGCTGACAGTGTAATAAGAAGCACATGGCAGATGTACCCACCATTAATCAGACAGACCTAAGTCCTGAGAAACGCCATGGCCATGAGCAGTGTTTCCAATGACGGCCACTTATAAGCATGTGCCAAGAGGGTATGGGCTAGGAAACCCAGGTCTCCCTGGCTTACAGCTATGCAGGTCTGCATGTGAAACTTGCCTCTGCTATGCTGACAGTCATTAGCCATCAGCAATATACCAACTGCGTTTCCCCCATTACTTGTTTCTTGCTTCCTTCCCAACGTCTATGGCTTACATGGGCATTATTGAACGTCCATGGCACCTGGACAGCCACTAAAAGTCCTAAGTTCTTTTCGGTGTCTATTCGGTAGATTTGCTGTCTGACTGCTGTCCATTCTGTGGATTTTCTGTAAATCACTGCTTGTCCCACACTACTGATAATATCTCTCTTGCTTTCTTTTCACCCCATTTTTTTTTATTGGTCCTTCCTGTTGAAAAGATCACTTCCCCCTGACAATTTTAGGTATATGAAATTACCTTTAAGTGACAGCCTGTGATGGCCCTGAGCAGGTTTGCCCCCTTCTCTGTACTTCTGTATCTTTCATTTTACTGCAGGAATAAGAATATCCACCTCATGGACCTGTTGTAATGGTAAAGTATGGAAGGCCTAGGGCTACAGCTCAGTGGTAGAACACTGCCTACCATGCTCAAGATCCTGAGTTTGGTCGCCAGCAAGAAAAATAAATAAATAACATTCAATAATGAAACAAAGTTAGACATAATAGCACATGCCTGTAATCTCAGCATTTATAAAAACTAAGGCAAGTGAACCTCAAGTTTGTGGCCAACCTGGGTGAGGTGGTTTGAATAGGTATGGCCCCAACAGATTCAAGTGTTTGACTGACTGGCCACAAGGAGTGGAACTATTGGGAAACGTGGCCTTGTTGAAGGAGGTGTGGTTTTGGAGGAAGTGTGTCACTGTGGAGGTGGGGCTTTGAGGTCATATATGCTCAAGTCTGGCCAGTGTAACTCAGTCACCTTCTGCTGCCTTTGGATCAAGATGTAGAACTCTCAGCTCCTTCTCCTGTACCCTGTCTGCCTGAATGCTGCCATGCTTCCCACCATGATGATAATGAACTAAACCTCTGAAAATGAAAGCCAGCCCCAATTAAATGTTTTCCTTTATAAGAGTTGCTTTGGAGAGGCAGGCAGATTTCTGAGTTCGAGGCCAGCCTGGTCTACAGAGTGAGATCCAGGACAGCCAGGGCTACACAGAGAAACTCTGTCACAACAAAAAACAAACAAAAACAAAACAAATAAACAAACAAACAAACAACAACAACAACAACCAAACCAGAGTAGCTTTGGTATGGTATCTCTTCACAGCAATGAAACCCTAACTAAAACACTGGGCTACAGGCCCTTAAAAATGGGTGGGGGAAGAAGAATATCCCCAAGGTCTTATTTTGAAACCTGCCTCCTACCCTTGGACATCAGTTGCCTGCACTAAACTGTCACTGTAAGAGGTCACCCAACCTTGTAATTCTGATTCCATGGCCATGATCCTGGTGAAGCATCCCTAATCCAAGTCTCCAAAACTCTGGAGCACCAGCCTGGCAGCAGGAGTGGAAAATTCCATGCACAAAACTGTTTTGTAAACAAAATTATCTAAAATGAACAAGATTACCCTTCAAGCTGTGTGTATTAGATATAGGTGAAACATAATGAATTTTCTGTTTAAACTAGAGCCCTGTCCCAAGCATCACTATGTATAGGCAAATAGTCTTTTTTAAAAAGCATTTAAAGCCAAAGGACTTCTGGCCCCTAGTCTTTTAGGTAAGGGATACCCAAATGGTATTTTCAGTGCTAATATGAGACTATAAAGCTCATATGGCCATTCAATAAGGTAATAAGTATAAAGTCAAAACAATAAAATTCTCTTATGGCCCTAATGCACAGAATCTAATGCTGCCTCAGCATCTTAAGTTCTCATGAATTCTTCCTCAGTAAATCAGTTCCCTTGCAGAGGAGGCCACGTGATCTTCTTGACAGACATCAGAATAGTGCAGTGAGCGCTGGTCGGTTGTAGGATGGATGTACTGTATGCTGCAGGAGACCCGGCCACTTTACTATACCTTAGAGTACATCTGCTTCCCGTCTTCATAGTGGATCTCCACGTAGTCAGAAGACAGCAAACCACTGCAAAGGAAAGAAGAGAGACTGATTCCTGCAAACAAATGGTAGAGGTTTAAAAATAGTTCAATAAATGGATGACAGGCAGATGAAAACCACAGATCTGCAGTCCATAGTCTGGGCAAAGGAGGCTGTAGGCAAGTCTTAAAACAGCGTCCAGCAAAAAAGGAAACAAAATGTAGGCAATCGAAAGGACACCCTCAGATTCAGTACCTAGTGGACATGTCAAAACTACCAAACTAAGTTGCATGTAGAAGACAAGCGCTTTCTCTCTCTCCTCTCTCTCTTCTCTCTCTCTCTCTCTCTCTCTCTGTCTCTCTCTCTCTCTCTCTCACGCGCGCGCGCGCGCACACACACACACACACACACACACACACACAAAATGCTCTAATGGCAATTTTTTAAAGTGTGGCTCAGTGGGGAGGAATATAGAAAAGAACTGGCAAGCACTTCCCATAAAGGCTAGATAGTGAACACGCGACTCTGCCAGCTGTGTGGTCCCTGTGGCAACAATTGACACTGCCACCCCATCAGCAATATACAGACAAATGAGTGTGGCTGTGTCCCGGTAAAGTGTTACTTATGGAGAAAGATATTTGAATCTCCCACAGTTTTAATGTACTATGAAATAATGTTATTTTAAGTTTTGAAATCCATTTAAAAATGCATAAGGCCATCAAGATGGGCCAATAGACCAAAGCATTTACCACACAAACTCAACAACCTGAGTTCAATCCCCAGAGTCCCCCAGTGGAAGAATAGAACTGACTACTGAAAGTTGTCCTCTGAGCTGTGAGCATGCATGTGTGGGTGCACACATAGTATATACATCATACTCAAAATCATGTTTAAAAATAAATTTTAATTTAAAAATTTAAGAATATAAACTTTGAAGTCAGAGTTGGGTTTAGACCTAGCACAGCCTATGAATGGAGGTATCGACAGGGGTAAATTTCACTAACTTGTATAAAATGAGACTATCAAAAACGTGAGAGTCACAGGGCACTGTGAAGATTAAACTGATTAAACCACAAGCATGCAGAACTTAGCCTAGAAATTAGCGCTGGGTGTTCATTGTTGAGCACTGTGACTGTCACCATTATAACTTTAAATGCACGCACCACTGTAAACATGGATAATAAGCTCTTGGTTATGGGTGTGGAGGGAGACCTGAGTGTGAGCTTTCTTGATAAGGACCAATGCCTCAGACCCATGGGAATTTCAAAGCCTTCGTCTGGTCTGCCTGGAAACGTTGACAGTTTGTGCAGAAAGTATCAAGTAATTCCAGGTGGTTTACCGCCTGAGGCTGTGCCCGCCCGACAGAGGCCTCCCACCTAGACTTACTGCTCCTTTCTGTGCTGCGTATACTAACAAGCATCACGAGGTTTGGGGTTGTTGAGCAGTTGATGCCGCTCCATCAGAGCAAGCATGGCACACCTGATTTCAGCTGTTCTGTACACCTAGGTGTCTGATTTGTCTTCATTCCTTCATCACCCCGTAAGGTTTTCAGTATGAAGTACAGTGCCAGGTGCTCTGAACCCATTGCAGAGGGCTGGGTTAGGACATCTGGGTTTCTGTCCAGATCTGTCACCAAGAGTAATGAGAGGAGTGACAACTCACATTTATGGGCCACTTATTCTATCTAGGAGGCATGAACTCATCCCTGAACCACTTATGTCTTAAATGTAGGTCTTTGTTCCTTCTACAAAATGAAGGGCTACAAAAGATGCTCCTTCATATCCCCTCCTGCTTAGACATATTGACTTTCTAGAAGTCACTCAACAGTGTGTGTGTGTGTGTGTGTGTGTGTGTGTGTGTGTGTGTGTGTGTGTGCATACACATACACACACATGTATATATATATATATACATATATAAATATGATATATGTACAGTGTGTGTATGATGTACGTGTGTGTAAGAAAGACAGACAGAGACAGAAGAGAAAAAGCCAGTGGTCAATATCATTCTTTCCTCAAGAGCTCTCTGCCTTATTTTATTGGGATCTGAGGCTCGCTAACTCAGCTAGGCTGCCTAATCCTCTGGTCCCCACTTCCCGCAGCATGTGCCACGATTTGGACAGTTTTTTACACAGGTTCTAGGGATTTAAGTCAGGTCCTTATGCTCACAAGTCAGGAACTTTATCTCCCACATGAACTTGTGATATTTTTAATTCATCAAATGATTACTTTCTTAAGTGGTAATGAAGACAATCACAGACACTTAGGTTAATACATTCATACAAACATAAGCTTGTTACCTACAGTTATGCTTCTGTCCTTTAGTGCTTTTGGGTTGTTCTTTTCTTTAGACTTAGAAGTGAAATGGTTTGTCAATTGCTATTTTCCTCACTGTGTGGGACAAAGTGTAATAGTATAAACAATAATATAAGGGTTGAAACTGGGTGAATAGACAGTGGTGAGGCTGGGAATGAAGACTGCGGAAGTGATACATGAGGTAGGTAAAAAGAATTATAGGTTGAATAGAGGCTTTGTGTGAAGTTAGACAAAGATAGTGAGCTAGGCAAGACAGGAGTGTGGGCACAGTTCATGCAGACAGAGCTGCAGGCAGAGAACCATCTTAGCAAGTGTGGATGGAAAGGGGAAGGGCTTCAGACTATAGTATTACAAAAGGGATTTGACGACTTTCTAAAGGACATGAGAAGCTATTTGGAAATTTCACAGCAGAGATGCTTCTCAGGTCTCAAGTGAGATACCCGTGGGCCATAATACCATTCTGAAACCATAGACTAAGAAGAACAAGAAACTAGAGGCTGTGGATTCTTAGTGGAGAGAAGAAAGGAAGAAGAGTTAGATGGAGAATCTGAGACAGGCTTTAGGTATATAGTGCAAAGGGTAAGAACCCCCACTCAGTGGGCTTAATCAACCAGCATGATGCAACTCCCTTCTGAGGAGGGAGCTGCTGAGCACATGAAGCAATTACATTTTCTATGGTTACCAGCGTCTCCGAGAGCCAGGATCTGCTGTCGGCCCAACTGGTGACATTCCATCCAGAAGAAGTAGCTCCTCTAAGACTAGCCCTTACCAGTCTTAGGGAGAGAATTCCCTGCTTCTTTTATTTTCAACCTGTTTTTAAAATGGCACTTCATCCATGCCATATTCCAGAGGAATGAGAGAAATGGCTGAAAGAATACAAAACAAGCCAATGGAAAAAACTATCAGGAATAGTTAAGAGTTAAGTAAGGTGGTCAGATACAAAATGAATATGAAGCATATACTTCTATATAAGCCAGCAAAAAGTATCTAGAGATGATATGAGGACTTTCCAGAATGATATCAAACTTTGCCTATATATATAATACCCAATACAAATGTTAATACTTACATACCCTAAGAATAAGCAAGTATAAATAAATATGAAGAAAAAGACACATGAAGTTAACAGCAAATCCTTAGTTTAAAAAATTAAATAAGTCATAAGACAAGTCCTGACTGAATGAAGCAATTCCGATCCCCATGGCAATAGCCCATGTTGTAACAATGTCCACCTCCCTCAACCTACTTGGATATTAGTACAATTCCAAACAAAATCTCAAAAGTTTTTTTTAACATGACAAATGACTCTAAAGTTCATCTTAAAGAAAAAAAAATGTGTGTCATTTTCTCAACTAAAATAACAAAAGCAGGACTTTGTGTCAGCATTGCAGGAACTAAGATGAAGAACATGGTCTTCAGCCCAAAAGGCACAGAAGAATATCAGAAAAGTCTCGCATCTCGCGTTCAGATGACAGCATCAAAGGGTTAAGAATGGCACTGAAATCTGCAAAGAGTGGAAAACTGAAAGTCATCAGGATGTCATAAAACAGGAAACAAGTCCAGAAAGAAAAGGAATAAAGAAGCCACATATTTCAGTCATGTGACTAATATTAGGGAAAATAGATCACTATCCCACACCCTATAGCAAACCAAGATTCTATTTATTAAGGTTGTGTGTGTTTAAAGTAGAGCTGTTTTAGGGTTTTACTGCTGTGAACAGACACCGTGACCAAGGCAACTCTTGTAAGAACAACATTTAATTGGGGCTAGCTTACAGGTTCAGAAGTTTAGTCCATTATCATCAAGGCAGGAACAGGGCAGCATCCAGGCAAGTATGGTGCAGGAGAAGCTGAGATTTCTACATCTTAATCTGAAGGCTGCTAGCAGAATACTGACTTTCAGGCAGCTAGAATGAGGGTCTTAAAGCCCATACCCACAATGACACACCTACTCCAACAAGGCCACACCTACTCCTACGAGGCCACACCCTCTAATAGTGCCAATTCCTGGGCTGAGTATATACAAACTATCACAAGAGCCATAAGCTGAGTATAGATATCCAGGTAAACACTGAAGGGAGATCTTTGAATATATGACCTTAAACCCAAAAGCATAGATAAAACTATAAAAATTAAACTACAGAAATACAGACAATTTGTTAAAGCAACCAACAGTTCAAAACAAATGGATTAAAAAAATACTTGTAAAACAAGTTAAAAACAAATATTTACTCCCCTTCATGTTAGGTCTTCGAAAAACTAAGAACAAGAGAAAAGCAGACAAAAGGCACCCACAAAATCAAAATCAAATATTCAAGGAGCGACTCATGCAAAAACTGAACAGGAAATGCCATGGGTGATCAGTCATTTACAAATGCACAATTATAAGAGCAATATAAGACTTGAAAATTAAAATAACATAGGAGTAAATTTACTCAATCCCGTATAAAATAAAAATGAATGATAGTAGGAAGTACTGGCAAGTTTGTTAGAAAACTTACACTCTAGCGGATCATTTGGCAAACCATGTCAAAGCCTG